TGGAAATCCTTTTGGTGATGCCTGCTATGTATGGCAGTGTGATGATTTTGATCGGAGTGTCAAGTGGTTGCTTCTGTATGGTAGGAGAAACAGCTTGGCGGATGATACGGTCAGAGTAACCATTCATCTTGAGGGCTAGTACATGTTTCAATTCACTGGTCAGGTGGTGTTGGTCAGAAATGCAGTGAGCTCTATGGCATAATGTTTTGATGAAATAATTAATCAGGCTTCAAGTAGGAATCTGTGTGGGTGGACTTCCTGTAAACAGAATGTCCCAAAGAGCCATCAGTCCTCCTCTCAAACAGAACATCCAAGAATGGCAGCTTGCCATCTTTCTCCACTTCCATGGTGAATTTGATGGATGGGTGTCTGGAATTGATGTGGTCTAGGAAATGGTTCAAAGCTGGGAGGCCGTGTGGCCAAATGACGAAAGTGTCTTCCACATATCTCTTCCACAGGGAAGGACGAAGGGTGGATGTCAGGATGGCGTCTGATTCAAATTTCTCCATGAAAACATTGACTATCACTGGTGACAAGGGGGAACCCATAGGGGTACCCTAATTTTGTTTGTAGAAGGTGCCATTCCAGGTAAAGTAAGTGTTGGTGAGGCAGTGCCTAACCAGCGCAGGTACATCAGGGTTCAGTCCATGTTGGACCAAATCCTCAATTATTGTTATGATATCAGGTACTGGGACCTTGGTGAACAGAGAAACAACATTAAAGCTGACGAGGATACCGTCAGGAGATAGTACAATGTCTTTGACCATAGAAACCAATTGGGTTGAGTTAAGTACTCCTGAGGTGGTCTTGCCATTGAAGGGGAGCAGAGTATCTGACAGAAAACGGGCCAGCTTGTAGATAGGGGAGTTGATAGTGGACACGATGGGTCGTAGTGGGGTACCTTCTTTATGGATCTTGGGAAGACCATAGAATCTTGGAGGTCTTGCAGCGGAGGGTTTTAGGGAAGGACGTTTGGTTGGTTCGATTAGGGAAGTCGAACTTGTGATGATCTTGTTGGTTTTTATCGTTAGGCTGTTAGTAGGATCACTTTAATTTTTGAGTAACTCCCATCATTGAGTAGGTCCTGGATTTTGTTGTTGTACGAGTTTTTATCCATAATGACAGTGGCACTGCCCTTGTCGGCCGAGAGGATGACTATATCATCCCTCTTTTTTTAATTAGCCAGTTCAGAGCGTTCGTTTTTGCTAATATTGCTGATGGGTTTCTTAGCATTCTTGAGAATAGTGGCTATTTCAGCTCTTGTAACGTCAGCTTGGATGTGTCCTATGCCTTTGAGGGCTACATCGACCTGAGAAATGATATCCTCTACTGGTAGATTAGGGGTGACAGCGAAATTTATCCCTTTAGCCAGTACCATTTTCAGATTGTCCGAAATCAGGATGTTACTCTGCTTAATAACGATTTTGTTAATATCCAGTTTTGTGATGTGTGGTTCTGGCCTCTTCTTTGATAGGAGGTTGAATTTAGCAATCAGGTTAGCTTTGCATTTGACTGGCAGTGAATCAGCAGAGGCAGCAGTCATGTTGTCAACGTCATTCCAATCAGAAGGGGACATTTTTTGTGTTAACATTAAATGTGATTGTAGGAGAGTCCTGTCTAAACTATCGAGTTCAAATCGGAGTACTCTTATTCTCTCTGAGATTAGTGATAGGCTAGCATTAAACAGAATCCGTTTAGAGTTCGGTGAAGATACAGCAGCAGATGTGAGTGTGACAGCGATGCCTATTACCTTGTTATCGCGGCATCTTTTGAGGAAGGTTAGCGTCTCAATGAGCTGTGACTTCTTATCTCGTTGTCTGTTAAAAGCTCTAACAGATAGGTGAAAACCCTCCCCGTAGAGGTCATTAATTCTAGATTTGAAGCTTTCGTGACTGCAAGGATTCATACTCTTTGGTTTTTTCGGTGAAGTCACGTAGATAAAACAAAATAAAAAAACAACCCATTCAATCACGACGTTTCAGAGGCAACACAAGCTTCCGTCTTCAGGTGGAACAGTCACAGCAAGATAACTGTTTTCATGGAGAAATTTGAATCAGACGCCATCCAAACATCCACCCTTCGTCCTTCCCTGTGGAAGAGATATGTGGATGACACTTTCGTCATTTGGCCACATGGCCTCCCAGCTTTGAACCATTTCCTAGACCACATCAATTCCAGACACCCATCCATCAAATTCACCATGGAAGTGGAGAAAGATGGCAAGCTGCCATTCTTGGATGTTCTGTTTGAGAGGACTGATGGATCTTTGGGACATTCTGTTTACAGGAAGTCCACCCACAGATTCCTACTTGAAGCCTGATTCCCACCACCACCCGGCTCAAAAGAATTCTCTCATCAAAACATTATACCATAGAGCTCATTGCATTTCTGACCAACACCACCTGACCAGTGAATTGAAACATGTACATCTAGCACTCAAGATGAACGGTTACTCTGACTGTATCATCCACCAAGCTGTTTCTCCTACCATACAGAAGCAACCACTTGACACTCCGATCAAAATCATCACACTGCCATACATAGCAGGCGTCACCAAAAGGATTTCCAAAATTCTAAACAAACACAAGATCCAGGTTCGGTTCAATACAGTACACAAAATCCGTGATCTGATCCCATCCGTAAAGGATGTCATTCCTGACTTACAGTACCCCGGTGTTTACAAATTGAGTTGTATCTGTGGTGACTGCTATATCGGGGAGACGAAACGACATATTTCTGACCGTATTCGCGAGCACAAATCAGATTTGAAACACGGCAGAACGAATTCTTCGGCCGTGGCTGATCATTATCTCAACACAGCGGGTTCTCATGACATTGTTTTCTCCGATACCAAAGTACTATGCAAACCTCCCGGTAATTACCAAAGATTTGTCCATGAAGCCATCCAGATATACAAACATAGACACAACTTCAACCGAGAGGATGGTTTAAAATTAAGCACCACTGGAAAGATGTCATAAACCAAGCTACCTTATAAAGCGCAAAGCCTTTTTTTTTACCATTTTTCATTGCCCCCGTGCAGTAAAACCACCGCTTCCCCCAAACCCTCAACATAACAAAAGACGGATTAAACTTAGCCTCGTCGTCGTTCCCTGCTTGGCTCCTCCCCCCCACCTTAACCTGTATATAAGCTCGAGGGTCTCAGAGCTCACCACTTGATGCAGCTATCTTGCTGTGACTGTTCCACCTGAAGACGGAAGCTTGTGTTGCCTCCGAAACGTCGTGATTCGATTTAGTTTTCTTTTATTTTGATTTTGTTTCATCTACGTGACTTTACCGAAAAAACCAAAGAGTATGAACCACTTAGCTCCTCTAACTCCCTCCCATTGCCTCATAAGCGCCTCCTTATTCCAACTTTTCTTGGTCAAGTCTTTCCGTGTTGCTGCTCCACGTTTCTGGAATACCCTTGGCCCTCATATACAGGCTTGGTTCCCTTCCTTCCACTCCCCCTCTTTACTTCCCCATAAAACCAAAATACAGAACATATTTCCACCTGTACCCAATTTTTTTACAGCACCTCTTCCTCCCACAAGTTTGCACTGTCTTTTTCGACTTGCATCTGATTATGTCACTGTTTGACTAAACTATAGAGCTTGTATGCACTTGTACAAAACATTTGCACATTACATTTGCACTGTCTTTGATGCAGTGTTTCGTTTACAACCGTTGAGCACACCGTGTGTTCGCCTGTACTTGTTCTCTGTAATGACACTTGTGTCTTTGTTTGTTGCTGTGCTCATGCAGTATGCATATCCCTTATCAAATAGGCCGGGTAATTGGCTAAAAAAGATGATCCGTGTAACAAATAAAAGAAACTTAAACTTAAAGCCCCGGACCAGTTTCAATATCCAACGTCTCATCAGCAGAACCAGGGTTGCTTGAACTACAAGATGTTTATAGGCTGGAACCACTGAAGAGACACGAGTTTTAGTTTGATGCAAAACCATATAATATAATAAATAAATAAACTATTGCATTGTCCAAACAACCACAGATATGTTTGTTTTACACACTTTTTAAACACTTGGAAGTCGTGTATCTGCATTACACTGAATTGCAGCACTGTAACTAGCTGCAGTTGTTTCCTAAGCCAATGAATGAGCAAGCTCTGGTACAGAAACAAGAAAGTGAATGAAGCACAATTCAAGTTCAGTGCAGAAAAACAACACGAATGCTACCAGGTAAGGGTTAGCAGCGGTAATAACGCTAAGCAACTATTCTATATGTTGCCGTAGAGATAGTACAGTACACATCATATTCTAGTTGCAAGGAAACCTGTAACATGTCGTCTTAACCATAAGTGAACGGCTTTGGTCAACGTTACACCCTCACTGACACAGCCCATTGCTACAACTGTGTAGCTTACCTGAGCCTTCGACGCACCAACATCCCTACTAATTTTTGCACCTGTAGTAAATTTACTACAAGTCTGAAACTGTAAACAGCTATTAACAATGTATTATATGGGCATATCAACTGTAATACTGGGTAACCAAATGATAACTTTTGCTAAAGTAACATTAGAGCTCGTAAAACCCCTGAATGGTTGTAGTCCAACTCAAAGAATCAGTGTGAGCCACCAGTGGTTAGCCTTCTGATCCCAAGTGTTAGTGAAGAGCCTCGCCGTCATAGCTGATAGCAGTGCTCTATATTTCTGGTAAATCAATGTCTGTGACATATGTCCATGTCTGTGTATATATTAGTGTAATAATCACCCTAAATACATTCAGATGTTTCTGCAACCTAATGTAAATATGAAGACTTTAAAAGTAATTTGTCCGAGCCAACTTTCAAAGCAGGAAACGCTTTTTTTTATTTAGCGATTCATAGATGTGTACTGTTTTCGATTTTTTTTCTGAAACGCAGTTGTATTTGACCTAATTTGAAGTTGGATGCTTTTGGTATGATTTTAAATTGCTTTATGATTGTAATTTGTTTTTACGTTATTGCTTTTGTCGTATATGGTACCCAGGTCTCACCTGGTTAAGCAAAATGCACTTGCAACTTCCAATGGACGCACTGTAAATGTAGAAACATAAAACCCGAGTGTAGTTAACATTGATGGTGTGCCCACTCGAAATACTGCTGTCAATGTCAGACGTCTCCACTGGCATAGCACTGTGTACACAGCAGACACAGTGAGGGCAACAGCATCAGCTTCCACATGTCTCCTGTTGGTTGGCAGCGATAAAAACAGCCCCTGACCCTGGCGAGGCCATCGTTAGATTATCGCCACGGCCTGAGGCACGTCCACTCCCACACCCTGATGCGCCGCATGGGTGACGCTAGCGCCGTTATACCTCACCAGAGGCCCTGCCGGCATGATCATGATCCAATCAAGATTATCAAAACAACGATCGCCCATCCACCACTACCACCATCATAATTACCATCGCAGTCGCCCTCATCACTTACCACCTCGAACACCATAAATGCCACAACCATCACCACGACCACTACCGTCGTTATAATCACCATAATCATTTTCACCACTACCAGACATGACAACCAGAATTATCACCACGATCATCATAACCACCGCTATCAACCACATCACAATGATGAATATAATCATCACCTCACCACCACGAACAAAACTGTACAACCATAACCACGATTACCACCATATTCACATATAAAACACAAATGCATCACTAAAATTATTTACATCACCAACAAATCACCATAATTACCGCCACCATCGCCACCAGCACCCACAACACGAAAGCATCACCTCTATCATTAATAATCACCATTGGTACAACTCCCATCATGAGTACAACTACCATGGGTTAATGTAATTTTTAGATAATTTCAACTTGTAATGCGCACAGCATTTGCTCACTCCCTGTTGAGAGAAGAACGACTCGCGAGGGGGAACCAGACAAGACGGGAGAGGGCATCAACAACTACTGCCAGGTAGTGGTGAGCGGGCGCCAGCGACAGCACCACCACCACCACCAACCGCCGTGTGACGTCACCATGGCGCTTGTGCCAGGGTTGGTGCACCACCCTCACCACAAATATCACTATAACCATCATCTTTACCACAACCACCAGCATCCTCACTACCAGCACCAAAAATTACTGCATCACAATCATCAACACTACCACCAGCACTAAACTACCACCGTCGCAACCACCACAACCATCATCACCACCACCACCATCCACCCCGCTACGAACCACAACAATCACACCACTACCACCACCATCACGTCCGCGTCACTCACAATGGCCTTGGTGTAGCACTGGATGGCATCGTCGTATTTCCTGTTGCCGAACAGGCGATTGCCCTGCTCTTTGAGTTCGTGTGCCGTAGACATGGCGCCCAGCGGCGTGCGTCTTCGGAGCTCTGGTCCGCCGACTCTCGGGTCTCCTCCACCTCCTCCGCTCTTCTCTCGCCTCTCCTCCGCTCTTCGCTCGCCTATCCTCCAAAACCTTCTGCTGCCCCCCCTTCCCCCTACAGCCACGTGACGTAAAACCGACACCACGTGATGCAAACTCCCCAACCGACATCACGTGACGTCCGCGCCCCTCCCCACCACCTCGCTGCCAAACTAGTGCGGGGTCGCCCCTACCCCCCCCCCACCGCGAGTGACAGCGCCGCGTGACGTACTTCCGGTAATAGGGACTTGGCAACAACAGTGATGTCAGCACCGCGTGTGAGCGACGTCTCGAGTTCAGTAACGGGCGCTGCCGTCTGCGCTGTCTGACGTCCAACAGGAGTCAGGGCCAAGTTGATTTTATTTTAACTCGACGAGAACACAAGACGCGACCGATCGTCTCATTTGCAAGTGACCTGGGGTCATCAAAATGAAAAAGGTACAATAAATCAATTGTCAAAAACAAAACAGAACTTGAACGGTGCACAAAATTAATATTGCATGAATACTTCTGCAAATAAAGTTTTGCAATGCACTTAGGTAATTTTTGCAAAAGTATGTAAATTCACAATGTATGTTAAAAAAATCGTTGGCCAGTATCCACTGTTAACAAGGCTGGCAGCATCGGGTTTTTCATGGTTTTAATAAAAAAACAATCTCAGATGGCCCAAAATCCGGTTTTATTTCGGTTTTATTGCCTGTTAATGGCTATAATTATAGACCCCAGCAAGGAGAAGACAAACCACACATTCCGCTACAAGATGATGGTCAATGGTTGCAAGACGCCGATGGCAGTGAGTGGCCTGGGCTGCAAAAGATCGCCGTCAAGCTGTCCAGCATTGCCACGTCCAGTGCCGCATCCGAGAGGAAATTCTCCACCATGGCCTTCATTCACTCCAAGCCGAGGCACAGCCTGAGCGTGAAGTCGGTGGAGAAGCTCGTCGTCTTCGTCAAAAGCAACATTCCCGCCTTCTTCGACGGAGCGGTTGAGATGATCGAAGAGGACAGCGAATTCGATGACTGGCGCCGATTGACAACTTGACTTGCCGGATTAAAAACCATGTTTTTTTTCCGACAGCATCGGTTTTTTTTTTTTATAAAACCAATAACCCGATAAAATTTGCAAAAAAGATCTAGTTTTTTCCACCGTTGACTGTAAAAAAGACTTCCCCTAACCGTGACTATCTGTGGTGACGTGTGCCGCTCTCCATGGAGCAATTGAACACGGCGCCCTCCAGGGCTCACTCGTCCCCCTCTTTTGGCTGCCTACTCAGCATTAGTCTCCACCAGAGCCATCGTCTCTTATTATTATCAATAATTTGTGTGTCCTCTCAACCATGCGGTCCTTCTCTCTCGGTATAATTCTCAGGATATCGTCCCATGCTTCTTTGCAATTTTTAGCTCGTGTTCCATCCATTGCGATTACTGTAATGTCAATGTTTCTATCCGATCTCTGCCATTGCATCACCAACTACACTGCATGATAATCGTGGGTGTTATGATTCATGGCCACGATTCGATGCAGGAAACCCCTTGCCATAACTAAAATTATACTGAAGGGGAAATGCACGAATTGTTTTTTGGTCATTGTGATTGTGCACCACTTCCAACACAGCATCACCGAATAATGTTTAATCTATTCGTTGGGTCATTCAATAAAGCTACGAAGATATAAACATAAAACAAATATCACGTTTCAATCGCAACACAAGCAATCGTCATCCGGTGAAAAAAATATATCGGGAGAGCTGCTGAAGCAGGATGTCATATAGGTTTGAGATGGGTTTAGCCCAAGGGTAATTGGGCAAGGCTAGAGATCGAATTTGCATGTAAATGTAGGATCGGAGAGCTGATATACCTCTACGACGACGCAGCTGTGGAAGTGGCAATTGTGATTGTGAGAGATTAGCATGTCAACGTAAGCGAACCACCGCAACGGTGGCTATGCTAGTGAGACATCCAGCTCGTTAAAAGCCGAGGGACATCGCCAACTCGAGGACAAGGAGCAACGGTGGCTGTGTTAGTGAGACATTTAGCGTGCATGTAACTCAGAGAGTCGGAAATAACTGCTAACATCGAGAGGTAGGATGGAAACATCACAGCCACTTATGACTTAAACTGGTTAATAACGTCCTTCCAATGATTGCTCAGTTTGTACCCACCTCGGTTGAAATTGTGTCTGTTGATATATCTACACCAAGCCCTCAAGATGAATGGTTATTCGGACTACACAATCCGTAAAGCCATCACCCCAACCGTTGGGAAAGAACCATCTGAGGACCCAATCAAAACCATCACCTTGCCATAGATAGCAGGGGTTACCAAAAATATTTCCAAAATCATGAGCAAACACAAGATCCAGGTTCGATTCAACACATTACATAAAACTAAGCTGTGTCTGCGGCAGCAGTTACATTGGGGAAACCAAGCGACATGTCTCGGACCGTGTTTGTGAACATAAGGCAGATCTGAAACACGGGAGGACCAATACATCAGCCGTGGCTGATAATTGTTTTAACGCTGTGGGCATACACTAAATATATTTTTCCAAGACGAAGGTACTCTGCAAACCCACTGGCTATCAACAAAGATTCGTTCATGAAGCCATCCAGATATATAAACACAATTTTCACCGAGAAGATGGGTACAAACTGAGCAATCATTGGAAGGACGTTATTAACCAGTTTAAGTCATAACTGGCTGTGATATTTCCATCCTACATGCCGATATTCACAGTTATTTCCGACTCTCTGAGTTACATACAAGCTAAATGTCTCACTAGCACAGCCACCATTGCGGTGGTTCGCTTACATTGACATGCTCATCTCTCACAATACAATGGCAACCTCCACAGCTGCATGGTTGTGGAGGTATATCAGCTCTCCGATCTTACATTTACATGCAAATTCTATCTCTAGCCCTGCCCACTTACGCTTGGGCTAAACCCATCTCAAACCTATATAACATCCTGCTTCAGCAGCTCTCCCGCTATATTTGTTTTCATCTGATGACGATTGCTTGTGTTGCGATCGAAACGTCGTGATATTTTTATTATTTTTCTATCTACGTGGCTTTACCGAAAGACCCAAAGAATATGAATTCCTGCAGGTCACGTAAGCTTTGAGTCAAGAATGTTTAGTCTTGCAAATAATATGATCCTGGTCTCTTGAATTCTCACCTGGTTACACTAAATAACTTTATAATTGAAGGGACGTTAGCAGGACAGACCATGGTATATATTATCGTACAATAGATACAATAACCTGCAACATTTCCAGTTCTCATGCTGGCATTTCACAAAATCCATCTCAGACGTATTGTGCGAAAATGCCAACAACTTGTTTTCTAGTTGCTTCGTTTAGTGTGATTCTATACCACAAAATATATACCATTGCTAAAATGCATGACATTACTGGCATCCCTCATAAAAAAGGGGAATAACACGAATGCAGTGAAAAATTAAGCACCAGCTCACAGCGTGTAATATAATACAGATTAAGTTAAATCAGTCAACAGTCTTGTATTTACTCATGAGGTACAAGGAGTTGTAAAATATTATGTTCTAAAGTTTATGCAGTTAAAACAAGAATACAACCAGTTATACTGGAGGGAATATTCATTCCAATGCTATGAACCACAACTAAAGCTTTACCCGAAGCTGCCAGGTCCTTTGACAATTGCGTTAATGTAAATTTAATATAACTGCAACCATAGTAAATGTAAATAAATTAAGGCATCTTACATGCATGTAAAAAATAGACGAGTTCAGGAATAATACACATTCCAACATTGTTTAAATAAATGTTTAAAGTTGTATTCTGACTTCCTTGATTTTGTCCTGCAGATGCGTGACATAGTTTCAAGTGAAAATTTGTAATTCATCACTAAAATTGAACTTGAAATTGTTCAACCTACCAGTGTAATGAAACAAATAATAACATTAAACACTTGTACACGAGACATGATAATGTAATTCGCTATGTTGGATGGCAGAGGGTCTTATATCGCCATACCCAAAAATACACTATAGCAGCATTACTGATTAAATCAGATATTTTAATGTACAATGCATGAGAATTACAGACTGGTCTTTACATGCCACATGGCCGTGCATGGGGGGCTATACCAATTGTTCACGTCTCGTCATGTGACTGCAGGTAGATGGGCTTGGCCTGTTTGCGGAGACGCTCCTGAGTCTTCAGGTGCCGCCCCTGCTTTCCAGCAAGTCCCATGGGAGGGAGGTTCATCTGCAAGTTCGCCAGCATGGAAAGCCAGGAGTAAATGAAAGCGCATGTATAGAGAAAAAGGCAAAGTAATTTCCTGTTCAAATGAACATTGAGGTGGTACTAATCTGTTAGTAGCCCTGAGCCAAATTTTGATTTAAAGCTTTCGTGACTGCAGTAATGCATATTCTTAGTTCTTTTGACTTTACCGAAAGAACTAAGAATATAGCCCTGAGCCAGTGGTGGAAATTTCTTATTCCTAATGGCAGAAGCAGGTCTTTCCATAAGACAACTGCTGTTTACTTTCCCAAAGAGTGGTAGCCATCTTATCGAACCCAGACAAATGATGGGCTGAGTAAACCCCCCCAAATAGGATTTTAACTCGAAACCTTTTGATTCCGAGCTGCTCACTCTACTGCTGATGCCCAAAGCTGGATTGGTACACCCAGGTGGGAGACGGGAGACTGGGGAAAATTAACACCTGAAAGTATGAGAGCTTTGTAGAGATTCAGGATAGACAGCAGTGCAGTGATATTTGTAGGAAAAAAGTAACTAAGTTTATTGCCTACATTACAACATACTACCAGGTGTTACTTTCCATAATATCATCAGTTATGATAAATCTGCTACTAGATTAAGGCCTACCCAAGCAATCTCATTATTCTATAAACTACATCCTTTTTATCCTATTATTGTATGTACATACACATTTTATTAGGAACGGTATAAAAACATTACAGATTAACCAACGATGCAAACAAGCAGGGTATAATAAAGTAGTTGCTACCATTGACCACATACAATCAGATCTAAAATATACAAATGAGTCAAGTTATGACATAAGCGTTGGTTAATACTTGTCTACAAACGCATTCTGCCAGAGTTAACACAGGAATAATGAAGTTAGATAGGTCTCAAAATAAATTAGTAGTAATGCATTCCTGCCATGAGCATATCATTATACCAATTTGTATTACAGCCGAGCTTTATGTTGACATGCTCTTGAAAACTGGTCATACAAAGTGTAAACATAAGATATCGACATCTAAATAACAAAGTAACTTACAGGTCTTGGGTAAGGTATCTTGTAATGAAGTGCTGTTGGGAGACAACAGACGTTAACACTTCCTGCTGTCATATACATATATAATCACATCATGAGCATTTAACAACCAAGTGAAACAAATAACCTCATTTGCGTTTCTCAAACTGAAGATAACTAGAGTATTCCAAAACATTAAATATGATATTCAAATCTTTGTTTGGCTTTTGCAAATATTTTCATGCACTCCTTACCGAGTTCTATTCTTGTTTCGCATTCCTCAATGCAGAACTTGATTTTCTCCGGCTCCACCAGCTGTTGAAGACGAAACAACACCCTGTAATATAAACTGTGCCCTCTATATTGGTCGCGAAAGCCGACGTGTGGAAAACAGCCGCTGGGAGGCAATGAAAACGCTGAGCAGTCCGAGGGAAGAAGCAGAACGTGTCCGCTGCAGTATCGTACGAGTGGTTGAGCGGGCGAGTGTCGCTGTGACCTGCAGTGTGGTGGTAGACCAGACTAGGGTCCTCAACAAGAGAGAAGTAACCAACGAGGTTCAGTTCACGGAGAGAGTAGTAACGATATACGAGCAGTGATGAGCAGGTGAGCGAACGCGATAGCGAGTATCTTGGCGCGAACAAGGCCAACGCTGGATCGTCAATCAAAACGAGGGATTCATGTTTCAACTCGAAGGAGCGGCGCACACATTCGGGTAGGCAGTGCGCGAAACCCACATCCTTGTTCTTGCGGAAGAGCGCACGTGCCTCGGCGCGGATGTACTCGGCCTCCGCGAGCGATTCCGAGGGCTCGGCGCCTTGCAATCGCCACCCCCGCGCCAGGCGGAACACGCGGCGATAAAGGCCCAGCACCTCGACGCGTGACACGCTCATGCCGACTCCGCGGAGACTCAAAACTCACCCGGAGAAGTGAAATCTCACTCACCCCCTCCTCCCCCCCACCCCGTTAGAAGGGACCACGAAGTGGTACTGCCACCGACTCAAATTGCAGACCGAACGCGTGCCGAGCGGATAGCCCCGAGCCCCAAACTCACTCAAACCTCAAAACTCCAGTCATTGAAAATCCGTGACATCGAATGAGACATATTAAGCAAGTTACCCCGTCCCCAGACGCTTGTATCCCGAACCTCAAATTCACTCCCCACACGGGAACCGCTGGCTCGCACTGTGCTCGCTCGGCCTGCCCAAGTCAACACGCGGCTTCGCGCCTATGGGTCAGCGGACGCTCCCCTCCGCCAGCCAGACCCCTCGCGGCCTAGCTAGCCACGCAGAGTTAGCGCAGCTTTTTTCCCGGAGAGGAAACTAGGTCAGCTGGGACGGGGGAAGCGTGGCGATCTGAACGTATAAACGGTGCTAAGCTGAAACGTGTAGATATACTAAGACGAGCGTGTTAATTAGTCCTAATCGGCTTGCATATCAATTAAGCCGCGTTTACGCACCAATCTGGCTGCACGCACACGGGACGATGGAGTCGTGGGGTCGTGACCTCTGACTCTGCGATAATTTCCAAATCGATTTGCCGCTCTCGATCCACGCATCACACCGCAAGTTGCAAGAACATCGATTCTCTGGGCATAAACATTTCGATTCATGCAAATCGTATGGGATCGATGCACGTTGACTGATGACCGAATCGACTCTGGTTATAGAAACTGTCAGCTGTCGTCCAGTGGAGATCCGATGACCTCTCGTGATGTCAGCCAGAGACATTTCCCCTACCACGGTGCTCATCTTCACTTTGCAGCCCTGAGCCAAGAGCTCGAAATGCAACATCCCTGTGGCGGATGCACAAGGAAGCCTTCTTCCAATAGTGTCTTGGCAAAGGGATGTATTTTTCGATTTAAAGCTTTCGTGACTGCAATGATTCATCTTCTTTGGTTCTTTTCGGTAAAGTCACGTAGAATGAGAATAAAATAATAAATTGATAAAATAAAATAACACAATAATATTCTCACTGAGGATGTGTGGAATCCCTCCCCGTAGAGGCGGTTAAATTTCGATTGAAAGCTTTCGTGACTGCAATGAGAATATTATTGTGTTATTTTATTTTATCAATTTATTATTTTATTCTCATTCTACGTGACTTTATCGAAAGAACCAAAGAAGAAAAAGGGATGTATATTTGAGTGAAGCTAGAAGCCACGGGCAAATACATAAACAAATACAGAAAACTTCAATTCTAGATTAAATACAGGATAGACTTGACTGTGGTGTATACAGTAAATATATATTTTTTTAAACTTGTATAGGACAACCGCTGTCGACCTCCCCACGAAGTGGTACTAATTTTATACACCCCGAAAGGGTGATGAGCTGAGTCGAGATGATGCGAAAAGCAATCGGGAATATGAACGAGCTTGTGTGACATTTCATGAACATTCTTGTCTTCATGTCTGACAGGTACAACACGGCGGAGAAACACATTTGAGAAAGGAATTTACTTTGTAAGATCCATACAATATAAATGCTGTTCCGATTTTAAAATTGCTAAACTTGTCAGCTAACAATGCACGCTACAATGCAAATTGCTTAATGTACAATACATACACGTTAAATATATCGGCATCATTCTTGTCGCTTAAAGTCTTGCAATAATTGTGTTAAACGTTAAATAACGTGCTAGTCGATAGAGAAAGCCATAATACAATTTGCTAAGTAATTATACTGAACATAAAGAAATCAGTTTCAAAAGCGTTATTTTAAAATTGTTTAAAGACAATTCAAAAATGTATACACACCTGTACCCTCTTTTTAATGTGATCTGTGCAAATAATATTGCATCAGACATTAACATCGCTGTCATCTGGAGTGTTATGAACGGCATTGGCCAGCAGGGGTCATCATAATAAAGATAACACTGTAACAAACAAAAAAATCCTGGGTAGTGTTATTTTCTAATTGCATATGCCTCAAAATTACAGAAAATAGGTATTATTCCCCACAAACTTTGCTTTTGTGACTAGGACAGTGATATTTTAAAATGAACCTTTTAAAATGAGAAAACGTGTGCATTTGTGTCATTCCTTCACATAAAATCATTACACAGTGTACAATTTGAAGTTCTAACGCGATGCACATTATTTACTCACTCTCAGAGAGAACAACAGACTCACATAGGCGCGAGGAGCCACAGAGAGCCGGCACCACCATTTCCCCAAGCTTTGTGGCCCTGTTCAGGTGTTTTTAGCCAATCAATGAGTGTTTACATATACTCTTTGGTTCTATTGGGTAAAGTCACGTAGGTGAAAATAAAATAACAAAAAATCACGACGTTTCGGCCACAACACAAGCGGCCTTCATCAGGTGAAGGGACGAGACTGTCTGGAGGACAGCGCTGGAGTGAGAAAAGCCACGCTTAGATCACGACTTTTAAGCTGTGTGAGAAGAAAACAAAGTGCCTTGACAAAGGAATTAGCATATAATTTAGCATTGAAATGGCTCATTGAAATAGCTAAGTTAAAGTATACACATCCGCAGAGGCACCCCTTGACAAAGGAATTAGCATAGAATTTAGCATTGAAATAGCTGAGTGATTAGCTTGTAACTGGTCACAGAAATAGCTATGTTAAAGTCAGAGCATATACATTCACCGAGGCACCTAGTACAACCAAATTAAGCAACCATTGGAAAGATGTTCTAAATCGAACTAAACATTAAACTAATTTCAATGGTACAGTATATTTTTCAAGTAGTGGTACCCCAAACTTTCGCAGCTCTTATAAATTCCCTTTTCACACGATCTATATTTAAACTCCCCCTCCCCCCCCTGCGCCAAATGGCAAGTCCACCAGCACGTACACCACCTCTTTTCTAAAATCGGCCAATCAAATGCTAATTTTTATGCTAATTTCTTTGTCAGGACACCGTGTTTGCTCGCACACAGTTTAAAGGTCCGCGGTCTGAGCATGGTTGTGTTTCGCTAAATTCTCCTTTTTGATTTGTACTAGGTGCCTCGGTGAATGTATATGCTCTGACTTTAACATAGCTATTTCTGTGACCAGTTACAAGCTAATCACTCAGCTATTTCAATGCTAAATTCTATGCTAATTCCTTTGTCAAGGGGTGCCTCTGCGGATGTGTATACTTTAACTTAGCTATTTCAATGAGCCATTTCAATGCTAAATTATATGCTAATTCCTTTGTCAAGGCGCTTTGTTTTCTTCTCACACAGCTTAAAGGTCGTGATCTAAGCGTGGCTTTTCTCACTCCAGCGCTGTCCTCCAGACAGTCTCGTCCCTTCACCTGATGAAGGCCGCTTGTGTTGTGGCCGAAACGTCGTGATTTTTTGTTATTTTATTTTCACCTACGTGACTTTACCCAATAGAACCAAAGAGTATGGATCCTAGCAGTCATGAAAGCTTTAAATCTAGAAGTGTTTACATATGTGGAATATAACCGCAGCACCCGGAGAAAACATACACGTGCAAGTGGGCAACACTCTATCCCATACAGACGGAATAGGTGGGGTCCACATTTTTCTGTCCTGCCTTCTGGCAAGCCAGGGTTATGGGTTTTCGACACCCATGGAAAGGGAGTTTCACAACCTTCGTGTGCTCCACCAACCCTCACTGCCTCCACAACGCTGGATTATAGTTGGCCACTTCCTGACTACATGTTCTTAGCGTGAAACGTTTTGTTTATTCCAGCTGCAGTTATATGATTATAGTTTGTAATGTTATGCTGGCTTCAAAATATGACTGTTACTAAATTATCCGCAAAAAATTAATACAGTACAAACAAAAAAAAACTCATCTTGACTTAAAGCTTTCGTGACTGCAGGAATTCATATTCTTTGGGTCTTTCGGTAAATTTACGTAGATAGAACAATAAAATAATAAAAATGAAAATAAAGTGAATAAAAAGTATCACGACGTTTCATTTTTATTATTTTATTGTTCTATCTACATGACTTTACCGAAAGACCGAAATAATAATAAAAAAACATGTTGCCCTTTTCAATACATGTTGTTAGTAATAGTGATAAATAGCTGACAATTGACCTTTATGCAAAATTATTTCCGCAGGTGTCTATGGTAACTATAAGCTTGTGTCATTTTAACACACGTAACCCGCACTCTGCACGAGGGATGCGTTCCGAGCAAAAGTCCATGCAGAGCAATGCAGTGCAGTGAACCCAGTTTTACAGAGTAGTGGCCAAGGTGTTATGTTCCAGACCCCTCCAAGATTCCATGCTCTCACTTGTAACTCACTAATGTACGTACAAAATTCAAACAAGGAATGAAATACCGCATAATTATGCAACGTAAAATAACATGAATCTATACAGGAGTTGTGTACTCCTCCCGTACTCAACAATGGACTGCAGAGGGCTGCTTCATTTCCTCCATCATCTTCAAAGCGTTTCGGCAAAATATTTTGTTGCACTGATCTCTCTCACTTAAATATGTTCAAAAAGCCCAAAAAAAGTATGCCAGTGACGAGAGCAGACTGCACTACAAATCTTGTTCAGGCATAATTTTTTATCAACTGAAACTTTTCAGGATAAAGGAGGGGAGAAGTGAGGCAGTCCTCCATGGTCCATCGTTGGGTACGGGAGCGTGTGGCGTTGTTTTTCCGAACTCAACGGCTCCCTGTTCCACAGCCAAAACAGCACGCAGCTGCTCAGAATCCACGTGGAGAGGAGCGTGAATTGCATGCAGAGTGTGGGACAGCGCGGTGTGCGAACCCCGCTCCTCAACCCCATGCGGTTGTGCGTGCTTTGCGAATTTTTGGTCATAAAAAAAAGACCAAGTACCTGCGAATTCGTGCTGAAAGAACCCGTGCAGAGCAAGGGGAAGGTGTATTCCATGTTAAAAAGTGTCCTAAAAATTCACGAAAATAAAAATATGCAATTGATCTAAGATTATTTAAGGTTAATTAACTCGATGGCACATATGGGAAATGGGAAATCCCATTACGTATGGTGTAGCTTCAGTTTCAGAGGTCGGCTTGACACAGACTTGGTTCCATGTGTGACCATCCCTTTTTCCTAAAAAGCAAAATCACAAGCACGTGTAGAAACCAGTTACACATCGCAAAACTCAACACAGTAAGAGCAGCAGTAGGAATGTGTTATATTTAGATTTAAAGCTTTCGTGACTGCAATGATTCATCTTCTTTGGTTCTTTCGGTAAAGTCACGTAGAATGAAAATAAAAAAATTGATAAAATAAAATAACACAATAATATTCTCACGACGTTTCGGCCACAACACAAGCGGCCTTCATCAGGTGAAGGGGCGAGACTGTCTGGTAGGACAGCGCTGGAGTGAAAGAGCCACGTTTAGATCACGGCCTTGAGGGCGCTTTGTTCCTCTCACACAGCTTAAAGGCCGTGATCTGAACGTGGCTCTTTCACTCCAGCGCTGTCCTACCAGACAGTCACGCCCCTTCACCTGATGAAGGCCGCTTGTGTTGTGGCCGAAACGTCCCGAGAATATTATTGTGTTATTTTATTTTATCAATTTATTATTTTATTCTCGATTTAAAGCTTTCGTGACTGCAATGATTCATCTTCTTTGGTTCTTTCGGTAAAGTCACGTAGAATGAGAATAAAATACGTGACTTTACCGAAAGAACCAAAGAAGATATTTTATTCTCATTATACGTGACTTTACCGAAAGAACCAAAGAAGATGAATGTGTTATATTTGTGATTCTCGCTTCTTAATGCGTGCTGCATTGTATTTACCGTTGTCCGTAATCCCTTTGCTTGCCGCACTTCTTCGTCTGTTTTCAGAATGGCCATTCTTTGTCCCGGTGAGAGCACAAAGAAAATGTTGTGAATCTCATCCAAAGCTCCTTGAATCTAAAACAAAACATATAATTTGCATAAAGTCACACCATATTTCCTAAGATCAGCAACTTAAATTCAATATCCTTACAAAACTGTTATTGTTTACACCTGTATTGTTAACAGATGTTTTTTTTTACTGACATTGAGTGTGCTTTGTGTTCGTGATAGAAGAATGTTATACTATTCACTGTGCACCGTCAGTATGCAACAGTCCTACCCCAGCACCTCCGATTGGCACGGTTGGCTACGTACGGTGTGAAAGAAGATTAACATAGTGAATACAACCACCAACGAGCACGCAAAGTGTATAATGCCACATTGTAAATGACAGGGTCACTTGGAATATTCCAAATATGACATGTGTATAATATCTATTGAGAACACTATGTACTCGGATATGCAATATAAAAATGTTCAATATTGCTTTGCTGTATTAACTACAGGATACCAAGCTATGAAGTGTAAATGGAAACATGTAACATGTTGGTCCCTGTTCTAACAATTCAAATCCCTTTGCGACTTGCTGCCTATCGAAACGACGATGGATGTCCTTTATATTTTATGAATATTCCCTGCCGGGGTTCGGTAATGGTGCACTAATGCAATTATTTGCTCAGCACCACTGGCAGTAGGATGTTCACTAATGGGAGCTCTGGAGACCCCTTTCAGAGGATATACATCTGTAACTTGGCCTGATCTTCTGTGCTGGGTGAATTTATTAGCATTTAAATACTGAACATAAAGGTTGCTGACAAACACTGTTACATCAATATGGTAGAGGACATTGATCAACATTCTATTTATCTGCACACAATTAACAGCTGCACTAATTAGATTGAAAATCGTGATTTTGTCTGTGGAAAAGGTGGCGACCCTAATTGATGAACACGTGAGACTCACGCGTACCCAGTGCAGCACACAAGTGTTGTGGTGGCCTTTACCTGTTTTAAGAGTCTTGTGCGGAATGCCGAGTCACTCGGTCCCAGACACTTTGTACTCAAGTCTCCCTGAATAGACAGTGCCAGCTGTCTGGTGTCCTGCGTGCAAAAGAATGAGATAGAAAAATGACAACCACACGTTCCTGTGTTTCATTGTCAGAAACAGTATGAAATGGAATGCAATTAAAAAAAGAACAATATAAAAAGATAATGTGGTTTTACATTTCATGTTGCCTTACTAGAGCTGTAATTTGTGTTTGTATTAGCTTTATTGATATGCAACAAGCACTATTTGCAGGGAATATACACAGTGTCCCTAGTGTGGCCAGGTGGCTCAGCGGTGGAGTGAGTGGCTCCCTATCGAAAGGTTGTGAGTTCAATCCCCATCATCCCTCCCTACCGGGTCAGTAAAATAAGTTCCACTTTGTGGGGCAAGTCAACAGTGGCTGTACCAAGCACAGACTGACCACCCCCCCCCCACCATAGGTAAAAGTGCGGCCCTGCAACAGCTCACTTCCAGCACTGCTAGCGGAAGGGCCTCCACTCGAGTGAACCCTGTAGGATATTTTGGTCTACTCCATGTTCATTAGATGTGTTGAAAAAGGTGGGAATGCCCACAATTTACCCCACCACGTGCGACCTGCCGATTGGCTAACTGTGGTGAACCCATCAATACTGCTGGGTAGACAGAGGCGGCAGGGGAAAATTAAGAAACTTGCTCCATTGTTGGAACTGCCTTGCTGACCTGTGAATATGGAATGTGATTTCATGACTGATTCATTCTAAAAATTCTTATTTAGCATCATTCACGCAAAATGCACCTCAAAGCGGGAAGCCACATACAAGCGGGAAGCCGGCTAGAAGCGGCAATTACCCAAGCTCAATGGTCCTATATTGTGATGTTTGGCCAACTCCATTGATACATGTTTATACCATGTGGGAGGAACCCGTATAGGTGCAAATTGACACACTTGCGGCGCTGTGCTGCCATACCATGGCCAGACGGGAGATGGCGACGAATTCGTGCGATCCACTAACCCGTCGAGTGAGAGACTGAGCGCAACGAGAAGTCACCTTGATTACGCTCACGAGGCGCTGCACCTTCTCCGTGCGCAGGAGCCTGCGCGTCAGGAACCCCTTGACGACAGCGGAGACTCGGTTTGATCTCTTCTGCACGTCGAGCAGATTGGCCTGGAACACAGCCACACGCAGCATGTCTTGCGGCAAAATAAATAAGCAGACAAGGCGCCTCCTTTACATCTCTGTTACTCCACACTTTTTCAAGTGTTTTTATCCATCAGCCACACAGCCTTCTCGGAGTGCTTAATTCAAGCGGCATTGGTCTAATTCAAACAAACTGTGGACTGGTTTTGACATTCAGTACCAGGATCAGGCTTGCTTGAACCAATGCTGGTGAACTGCCACGTGTTTATTCGGTACAATATATAAGGGTTACTCTTTGGTTCTTTCGGTAAAGTCACGTAGGTAGAAAAATAATAGATCATGACGTTTTGAACGCAACACAAGCAATCGTCATCAGGTGGGACAACCACAGCAATAAAAAACTGCTGAAACGAAACGACATGTCTCGGACCACGTTCGTGAACACAAGGCAGATCTGAAACACGGTAGGACCAATCCCTCTGCCGTTGCTGATCATTGTTTTAAGGCAGTGGGCTCACACGAAATTGACTTTTCCAAGACGAAGGTACTCTGCAAACCCACCGGCTATTATCAGAGATTTGTTCATGAAGCCATCCAGATATATCAACACAGACACACCTTCAAACGAGAAGATGGGTACAAACTGAGCAACCATTGGAACGACGTTATTAACAAGGTAAAATCTTAACTGATTATGATTTAAAGCTTTCGTCACTGCAGGGATTCATATTCTTGGTTCTTTCGGTAAAGTCACGTAGAAGGGAAACAATAAAATAATTATGTTTCCATCCTACCTGCCTATGTCAGCTGTTATTTCCGACTCTCTGTGTCTTTCTCTCTCTGTGTGCATCTCTCTCCGATCTCTATTCCAGTGACCCGGGTGCTGCTGTGGTGTCCACTTTCTTCCCTGCCTCCTCTCCCCCCCCCTTCTCTCCCCCCCCCCTACTGCCGAGGCCTATATAACCTCGTGCCACGACAGATCTCTCGCCTACTTCAGCTATTTTTTCTTTCTGTGGTTGTCCCACCTGATGACGATTGCTTGTGTTGTGATCGAAACGTCTTGATCTATAATTTTTCAACCTATGTGACTTTACCGAAACAACCAAAGAGTATGGATTCCTGCAGTCACGAAAGCTTCAAATCTAGATGTACAGTATAAGGGTAGCACAGTGATGCTTCCTATTTTTTCAAATAGATGTGTGCTGTGAATGTGAGACTGTTAATTCTGAAAGATTCTGCCAAATACATTTGGTTATTTTGGTCTGAATTGATTCATTCTGGTTCCTTGTGTTTATGTGATTGCATTTGTAATTTTGGGGACCCGGGTCACTCTTGCGTATGAGACTCTCTTGGTCATTTTAGTTGTTACCTGGTTAAACAAATGTAATTTTAACTTAATTCAAAACTAAAAGTGTGGATGAAACTGGAGTGCTCAACATGGGTGGAGGAATCAACAATTACATTAACGAAAACAATTACCATGGTAGTAGCGATAGAAGGGTGATAAGGAGGTGACTGACCACCGATGAGGAGGGCACTGGAGTGCATATCAATGAGTCCTGGATCATCAATCAACCCGACTGCTTTGCATTTAATTCTGCCAAGTGCAGTAAGGTAGGAACTGGGTGCTCCACCCCAGATATGACAGCGGTGTTCCCACTTCGGTGAAATTACTTTGGAGAGCTGTAATTGATCTGAGTTAAAGAAGGCTTCATGCTAACCCAGACTTACGACCGCTGTCGCCCTCAGTCCTCTGCGGTGGCTGCGCGTCAAGAGGCCCAGCACTGAACTGCTCCTTGTGAGGAGGACGCCCGTGGTCTGGGAAGCAGCCGAACACGACCGGACAGCCCCGTCACCTGTTACAAACGCGGACATACACCTCTGCTACATCTCACAGGTTTCCTTCTGTAAATGAGCGGTGTAATCAGCTGCAGTGATGTGGCATATGCAGAGCCCTTTAGCAATCCACTGATGAATGAAGGCCTCCCCATGCCGGTCACTGCAACATTGCGTATTACAATTCATGGTGTGGTAGCAATGTTCGTGATGTAACTGGCCGGGTGGCTCAGCGGTCGATTGAGCGGCTCACAATCGGAAGGTTGTGAGTTTCAATGCTAGTTCGGGGTTTACTCAGCCCATTATCATCCCTATGCTGTCGATAACATGAATATCACTTTGTAGAGATGTCAACGGTGGTCGTTCTGTGGGTAAAATCGCCCCTGCCACAGGAATTAGGAATTTCCACCACTGACTCAGGGCTGTGAACATGAGATAAGCACCACCTCGCTGCTCATTTGAGCAGGAAATCACCTTTTACTTTTAATGGAAATGCATTTGTTAGCCAAACAGTGCTTCTGAAAAAGTCCCTCGTACTCAAGTACTTACATGGGCATTTAAATATTGTAATTGGATTTTAGTTTACTAGAAATGTAACATTAAAAGAAAGTAGCAACTTTGGCTTCATGATACGGAACAAAGCAGTGAAAACACGATGAGTAACTTCATCTCAAATTCAGCTTACTTAGTTAATTGAAACCATTTGACCTCGTGGCCATAGTCTTTGTGGTCCAAATCAAGAATTTAGTCCATTAAATCATTTTAAAAACGTAGACTCAACTATGTTCCAATGCTTTTTAGCTCTTGTGCAGAATCATAAGAAGACTCATCAGTCACTGGGTCATGACAGCTGCATACAATGATAACTGCATTTTTTATGCCATTCGATTTTGTTGTGAGGTTGTAGTGGCCATTATGAACTCCTATCTCAAAACATTTACTGTAAATTATTGCAATTTATTTAGCAACATTCAGACCCAAATATAGAAATATAAAGAGTTTGTCTTACCACACTCACCATACACTCTCCTGACTATTAAGTCATGTTTCACACATTCATTCAATCCAAAAGAGCTTGCATGAAGTGAGTGGTTCCAGAGCACTGCTCTCCAAATTACATTGCAATTTTAACATCATTGTCAATGGTCCATGCTCATTCGTTCCAAACAGGCGCTGGAAAGCACAGCTGTGTTAACGGTGAGAGTGATGTGAGAGTGATGTGACATAAGTGTTCTTACTGCGATCGGTCAGGTGTGGGCAGTGCGGTGATGAATGTTTTCCGTTTTCATTCTCCTGATTGGAGAATGAACCATTGCCGGCGAACCCACTCAGTTTTTGAAAAGCCCATTGCTCTTGCAACTTGCTATCCTTTTGATCATATTTCTGTAACAAGAAAAAATAACAGGCATGTGAGTGCTTCTCTGAAATGGTGCGAGCATTCTCATGATACCAAATGTTTTGTTCATATGTCACTGGGAGCTGCTCAAGTTCCACATTTATTTGCAAGTTGGTATCAGCGAGTATTACGTAAAATTTTGTTTGCAAGAGTGACCTGGGTCACCAATATGATAAAAGCAATGAAATCAAATAAAATTATAAACAGTGAAACAAATAGAAATCGGAGCAATAATAATTACATGCTCTTTGGTTTTATTCGGTAAAGTCACGTAGGTAAAATAAATTGAAAGAAAACAATAAAATCACGACGTTTCGGAGGCAACACAAGCTTCCGTCTTCAGGTGGAATAGTCACAGCAGAAAATCTGTGATAAGTACACAGCTCTGAGACGATCGGGTTTATATATAGGTTAAGGGGGGTGGGAGGAGTCAGAAAGGGGCGTGGGAGGGTGGGAGGGCTGAGACAAGCCGCCTTTTGTTAAGCTGCAGGGGGTTCGGGGGGAAGGCTGTGGTGGACTTCCAACCATTGCGGGTAAAACCCCTTTTGTTATGCTGCCAGGGGGTTCGGGGTGAGGCGATGGGGGGCGAGTACGCCCCATTTTTGAAAACGAAAAAAAGCATCTATAGTTTGGCATACCACCACTTAAAATTGCTGTACAATTAAAAGGCAGCTAACGTTTGACTTGATTAATAACATCTTTCCAATGGTTGCTTAGTTTGAAACCATCCTCTCGGTTGAAGTTGTGTCTGTGTTTGTATATCTGGATGGCCTCGTGGACAAATCTCTGATAATAACCAGTAGGTTTGCAGAGTACCTTGGTATCAGAGAAAACAATATCATGATAACCCACAGCGTTGTAACACTGATCAGCCACGGCAGAAGAATTTGTTCTGCCGTGTTTCAAATCTGATTTGTGCTCTCGAATTCGATCAAAGATATGTCGCTTCGTCTCCCCAATATAGCAGTCACCACAGGTACAACTCAATTTGTAAACACCGGGGTACTGTAAGTCAGGAATGACATCCTTTACGGATGGGATCAGATCACGGATTTTCTGTACTGTGTTGAACCGGACCTGGATCTTGTGTTTGTTTAGAATTTTGGAAATCTTTTTAGTAACGCCTGCTATGTATGGTAATGTGATGATTTTGATCGGAGTGTCAAGTGGTTGTTTCTGTATGGTGGGAGAAACAGCTTGGTGGATGGTACGGTCAGAGTAACCGTTCATCTTGAGGGCCAGATGTACATGTTTTAATTCACTGGTCAGGTGGTGTTGGTCATAAATGCAATGAGCCCTATGGAATAACGTTTTGATGAGATAATTATTTTGGGCTGGGTGGTGGTGGGAATCAGGTTTCAAGTAGGAGTCTGTGTGGGTGGGCTTCCTGTAAACAGAATGTCCCAAGGAGCCATCAGACCTTCTCTCAAACAGAACATCCAAGAATGGCAGCTTGCCATCTTTCTCCACTTCCATGGTGAATTCGATGGAAGGTGTCTGGAATTGATGTGGTCTAGGAAAAGGTTCAAAGCTGGGAGGCCATGTGGCCAAATGACGAAAGTATCATTCACATATCTCTTCCACAGGGAAGGACTGAGGGTGGATGTCTGGATGGCGTCTGATTCAAATTTCTCCATGAAAACATTGGCTATCACTGGTGATAAGGGGGGACCCATAGGGGTACCCTCATTTTGTTTGTAGAAGGTGCCATCCCAAGTAAAGTAGGTGTTGGTGAGGCAGTGCTTAACCAACGTAGGTACATCGGGGTCCAGTCCATGTTGGACCAAATCTTCAATTATTGTAATGGTATCAGGTACTGGGACCTTGGTGAACAGAGAGACCACATCAAAGCTGACGAGGATATCGTCAGGAGACAGTACAATGTCCTTGACCATAGAAACAAATTGGGTTGAGTTAAGTACTGCTGAGGTGGTCTTGCCAGTGAAGGGAAGCAGAGTATCTGACAGAAAATGGGCCAGCTTGTAGGTAGGGGAGTTGATAGTGGACACGATGGGTCGTAGTAGGTAACCTTCTTTTTGGATCTTGGGAAGACCATAGAATCTGGGAGGTCTTGCAGCGGAGGGTTTTAGGGACTCTACTAACAGCCTAACGATAAAAACCAACAAGATCATCACAAGTTCGACTTCCCTAATTGAACCAACCAAACGTCCCTCAAATTCACCATGGAAGTGGAGAAAGATGGCAAGATGCTATTCTTGGATGTTCTGTTTGAGTGAAGGTCTGATGGCTCTTTGGGACATTCTGTTTACAGGAAGCCCACCCACACAGACTCCTACTTGAAACCTGATTCCCACCACCACCCGACTCAGAAGAATTCTCTCATCAAAACCTTATACCATAGGGCTCATTGCATTTCTGACCAACACCACCTGACCAGTGAATTAAAACATGTACATCTGGCCCTCAAGATGAACGGTTACTCTGACCGTACCATCCGCCAAGCTGTTTCTCCCACCATACAGAAACAACCACATGACACTCCGATCAAAATCATCACGTTACCATACATAGCAGGCGTTGCTAAAAGATTTCTAAAATTCTAAACAAACACAAGATTCAGGTCCGATTCAACACAGTACAGAAAATCCGTGATCTGATCCCATCCGTAAAGGATGTCATTCCTGACTTACAGTACCCCGGTGTTTACAAATTGAGTTGTACCTGCGGTGACTGCTATATCTGGGAGACGAAGCGACATATCTCTGACCGAATTCGCGAGCACAAATCAGATTTGAAACACGGCAGAACGAATTCTTCTGCCGTGACTGATCACTGTTACAACGCTGTGGGTTATCATGATATTGTTTTCTCCGATACCAAGGTACTCTGCAAACCTACCGGTTATTATCAGAGATTTGTCCACAAGGCCATCCAGATATACAAACACAGACACAACTTCAACCGATAGGATGGTTTCAAATTAAGCAACCATTGGAAAGATCTTATAAATCAAGTCAACGTTAGCTGCCTTTTAATTGTACAGCAATTTTCAGTGGTGGTATGCCAAACTTTAGATGCTTTTTTTCGTTTTCAAATATGGGGCGTACTCGCCCACCATCGCCTCCCCCCGAATCCCCCGGCAGCATAACAAAAGGCGTTTTACCCGCATGTGTTGGCAGTCCACCACAGCCTTCCCCCCGAACCCCCTGCAGCTTAACAAAAGGCGGCTTGACTCAGCCCTCCCACCCACCCACGCCCCTTTCTGACTCCTCCCCCCCTTAGCCTATATATAAACCCGATCGTCTGAGAGCTGTGTACTTAACACAGATTTTCTGCTATGACTATTCCACCTGAAGATGGAAGCTTGTGTTGCCTCTGAAACGTCGTGATTTAATTGTTTTCTTTCATTTTATTTTACCTACGTTACTTTACCGAATAAAACCAAAGAGTATGAATCCTTGCAGTCACGAAAGCTTCAAATCTAGAAATAATTACATGACAGAAGATATTAAAAACGGTGGACAAACATACACAAATATTTAATACATTTCCTTTTACGAAAATTAACTCGGATAAATTACTTTTACAAACCATGCATAGTACACTTAAGTTAAGAAAACAGCACGGAATTAGTGTGATTATTACACTGGTATGTAATTAGGCGAAAGATCTATATCAAATACAACTACAAAATCGACAGCTTTGCATTACATGCTAATTGTATGAAAGAGTAAGCGATGATGAAATTCCAGGTGTTTGGGTATTATCAAAGAATGAGTGAGGGCCAGGGTAAGTTAGGGCTTGCTGGACTATGCCCCGGTTGGATTGGAGTATCTCTAATACTTATAATCTATCAACCTGACCACACACGTGTTAGTGTTGTAATACGTTGACTGTGCTTGTGATATAACGTGGCACGTTTGGCACCATGCAAATCTGCACCAAACACAGAACATTTTGAATGAGCGGCCCCAACTGAGCCATTGGCACAGCGAGACAACAACTCCCGTGGTGGAGGGAAACATCACTGGGCAGCAGCTGATTAGTGCATTCCAAGCACTTCACCGGGCACTCATGCACACAAGAGCAATGTTTGTCTTCTCAACTGACATTTCACTTTCGCAATTCAGAGTGCTGCAGCGATGGGCGTGCTAGTCAGACAGGCAACAGTTGGTAAGGTTCCCATCATTTCAAATAATGTCACACCTCTGATTCCGATGGCTGGGTAGAGTTTTCTGTGGAGTATATATTTAAGATACCCCTGATGTAATTCCTTGCATCCGCAGTAATTTTCAAAAATTTCACAAAGCTATGTTATTCTCTCACTACAATAACGCAACGTTTACAAGGCACACACTGCATTGGCTTTTTTGCTTCATAAAACGAACTTGAGGCAATAAAGTAAATATACCTAAACGTGCTATATGGAGTATTCTATCATCAACAACATTCCCTGACCAGCATGGTGAGGTATGGTGAAATGCCCACATAATCCGCACGAAATGGTGGGGCCCTCGTCCAGCAGTAGATTGATGAAAGGCCTGTCCATTTACCATTTTCAGAATTGGTTACCGGTTCCAAAAGTCAGAAACCGGTAACCGTTTCCCGTGGATTCTTAGAAATGAGTGCACAGAACTGTGGCTCACGAATATACAAACCACATGGGAGTCGACGTCACATTTTCCCTTGTTTTTCAGTCAAAACCTAAAGCGACTGCCTTACATTTGATTTTTTGCACACGCCACTGTTGGTGGAAGAGCCTCCACAATTGGGAGCTCGAGAATGTATTTGGTCTACTCTTCCAGGCTGACCAGACATTTGGGCTTATCCACACTTTGTCGCACCACACAGGACCTGCCGACCGACTGTAGTTGGACCCATTGACACTATTGGGTGGACAGAGGCGGGGTGTGATTTGAGAAACCTGCTTCATTGTTTCTACTGCCATGACAGGAGAATGAATGGAACCGGCGATCTCCGGATTTTGTCAGGGCAGTGCGCTCGTCATTACATCACTGTGGCAGGTCCCTTTGTTTCTCAGTTAAAAGGGGCGACATTTTTGTTGATAGCAAGACATTGTTATCCGTGCCTCAAAGCAGTAACTGGTTTTTACAGTTGTTTTAAATGCAGTTACCGGTATGGCAATACAAGCGATGTTAAGAACCCCAATGCGAATGTACCTGCACTGGCTTGTCTGCAACGGGATTGTGATGCAGGGCGTGCCAATCCCTCAGCTGCCGCTGTTTCTCCTTAAATGCCACGATGTGAATGCATCTCTCATCTGTGTGGGAGCAAGAGCAGCGAGGGTGCATTACCAACTCCGTAAATTCAGCGCAAAATTAACTTTCAACACACGCGATGCTGTCTTACACTCTGGGTGTATGAGCCATTCAGGCCTGTACAACAACACGTAATTATGTGCGCAGAGGTTATTGTTGTTTTAAGTGGAAGTGTGTGAAGATGACGAAATTTATTGGAACTTTGTAAAATAAAGGCCATAGATCTTGATTTAAAGCTTTCGTGACTGCGGGAATTCATATTCTTGGGTCTTTCGGTAAAGTCACGTAGATAGGTTCAGAGAAAATAACAAACAAAAACTACGACGTTTCAATCGCAACACAAGCGGTCGTCTTCATGAAAAAAAGGAAGACGACCACTTGTGTTGCGATCAAAACGTCGTAGTTTTTTTGTTATTTTTTATTTTCTTTGAACCTACCTATGTGACTTTACTGAAAGACCCAAGAATATGAAGGCCATAGAGCAATGAAATCGGTACATGTGCAGGTCCTGGGTGGATTGTTGCATTGCAAGATGAGGAAAGGTAGCAGTGGCTTGGGGAGGCCTTCATCCAGCAGTGGATTAATAATGGATCATGTTGATGATGTAATGCTCGATAGACATTATCAATGTGTAGAGGAGTAGAATGGGGAAGTGGCATCACTTGTGCTGTCCAGGGCGATGACGTGACGTCATGCGCTCGGGGCAGCAGAGTGACGTCACGGCTCCTGAAGGATAAAAAGGGGACCCCGTGACGTAAGAGGGGTCGTAGCTGGAGAGTAGGGTCTGAGAAGGGTGAAACGGGGAGCCAGGGGCAAGAGGGTAGGGATAGGGGAGAGCACAGTGCCAGGCTAGACGTGGCTGTGCTCCTCGCTCGGCCGTGTTGGTTGATCCCACGGCCGGGGCAGAGGAGACAGCACAGGGCAGCCGGCTGTGTCGGGACCTAGCCCGGGACCCCTAACCCCTGGGGAGTTGTTCACCCCTGTGTATTGTTAAAGATTTGTAATAAAACCTTGGCGGAAGCCCCTACCTTACCTTAGCCTCCGAGTGAGTTGTCGGGAACTCCTTTACACTGGTGTCAGGAGTGGTTACGCTGCCGTCGCTATGCCTAAATCGGGCGGGCGGTGTAAGAATCCACCGGCGGGACGCCGGGAGAGTGCTGACGACGTCGGGGAGGCTCCGGCTGTGACCCGGAGGCAGTCCGTCGCCATGGAGATGGACTCGGCGGGGCAGGTGGTGTCGGCGGCTGGGGGTCCCAGCGCACCACCGCCGGTGGCGGGGGGCGATGCCGAGGAGCGGTCGCAGCTGCTCCTGCGGGCGATTGAGCAGCTCACCGCCGCCCTTACAGAGGTGGGAGCGCGGACGCACCCACCCAGCCCACACTCCGCGTGGCACCGGCGGATTCCCGCCGCTTTGCCGCCCGCCAATTTGGAAGTTGGCACCATTTTTCATGCGCCGCCGGAAGTGGCGGCCATGTTGGTGGGGGAACCGCAAGCGGACGTCATTTCCGCTGCGACGCCGGAAGCGGCAGCCATTGTTGCGGCCGTAGCGGCCGCGGATACGGCTGCGGATGCCGCCGCCGACTCGCGCCTCGCCGTGGCTGCGAGCTTGGCCGCAGAGGCTGCCGCAGATGTCGCTGCCGCAGATGTCACTGCCGCGGCTCCGCGCCTCGCCGTGGCTGCGAGCTTGGCCACGGAGGCTGCCGCAGATGTCGCTGCCGCAGATGTCACTGATGCGGCTTCGCGCCTCGCTGTGGCTGCGAGCTTGCCCGCGGAGGCTGCCGCGGATGTCGCTGCCGCGGCTCTGCACCTCGCCGTACCGGCGAGCCGGGCCGCGGATTCCGCCGCAATTGCGGGATGGGCCGCGGATCCATATGCCGCCGCATTTGCGAGGTGGCTCGCAGGCGCTACTGCGCCTCCTCACCTCGCCGCGTCTGCGGCGTGGCCCACGGAGGCCGCAGCGCCGCCAGCCCTCGTCGCGGGCGGGGCCACGGGGCTGGCCGTTGGCGATGCCGCGGGCCCGCACCTCGTCGCGCCTTCAAGGTGGGTCACGGGCGCTAGTGCGCCTCCGCATCCCGCTGCGCCGGCGGGGTTGACGGTGGCCGCTGCTGCACCTCCGCACCTCGCCGCGTCTACAGCGTGGCCCGGGGGGGCCGCAACGCGACCGCTGCTCGCCGCGTCTCCGGCGTGGCCCACGGGGGCCGCAACGCCGCCGGTCCTCGTCGCGGGCGGGGCCGCGGGGCTGGCCGTTGGCGATGCCGCGGGCCCGCACCTTGTCACACCTTCAAGGGGGGTCACGGGCGCTAGTGCGCCTCCGCATCCCGCCGCGCCGGCGGGGTTGGCGGCGGCCCGCTGCTGCACCTCCGCACCTCGCCGCGTCTCCGGCGTGGCCCACGGGGGCCGCAACGGCTGCCGCACCACGCCGCGTCTCGGAGGATGCCGCAAATGCGGAGGCCGTCGCAGGCACGCACGCCGGCACCGCGGCTCCATACGGCGCCGCGGACAGGTGGGTTGCGGGTGCTTTGGCGCCTCCACACCTCGCCGCGTCTACGGTGTGGCCCGGGGAGGCCGCAACGCCGCCGCCCCTCGCCGCATCGCGGGAGGTTGCTGTGGCTGCGGCTGCAGATCGATCCGTTGCCGCGCCTGCGGGGTGGCCCGCAGGGGCCTTCGCGGGGCCGTGTTATACCGCCGCATCTCCGGCGTGGCCTACGGGGGCCGCAGTGCCACCGCACCTTGCTGCGTCTGCGGCGTGGCCTATGGGGGCCGCAACGCTGCTGCACCACGCCGTGGTTGCAGGGTGGCCCGCGGGAGTCGGGGGGCTTCCATACCTCGCCGCACCGTGCGGCCAGGGGCTGCGACGGTTACCCCACATCGCGCCGTTTGTCACGAAAGTGGGCGACTGGTTGGCCTTCCAGGACCGGTTCGACGTGGCGTATATGTCGGTCGGCTGATCCATGGAGGAGGCGTTGGGGGCCCTTCCGACCTACCTGGACGAGAAGGCGATGCAGGTCTTCAAGTCCATTCCCCCGGCCGATAAGGCTACGCTTCCGACAGTGTACCTCCGGATGGCCAATGTACTCGAGCCGCCGTCCAGGGCACGCCAGAAGTTTTCACTACGGCGGCGGGAGGAGGGGGAATCTCCATTGGTTTTCCGCTGCTCGCTCCTGGCCTTGGCACAGGCCGCATACCCTGATATACAGGGCAGGGCGCTGGACTCGATGGCCCTGGAATGGCTACTCGACCTGGCACGTGAGCTGGGGATCGCTTTATCCATAAATAGCGATCGCCAGATCACGTCGTTGGCGGTGGCCGAAAACATCCAGGTGCACCTCTCCCTCCGCCAACAGCCCCGGATGGCGGCGTGCGCGGGGATCCCGGCACCAGAAGAGGAAGCCGCCTCTCAGGGGGTGGACACCCTCGCGGCCCTGGTGATGCCCGGTCGTCGCGGGAGGGGGGCGGGTGGTCGCCGTCCGGAGCAGCGGGGGCAGCCAGGACCTTCCCGCCCGCAGGACACTGCCACGGTGACCTGCTTCCGCTGTGGTCAGCAGGGCCACATTGAGCGGGGGTGTAGGAATGCCCCGGGGGCCTTCAGCAAGGGGGCTCCAACTCCTCCCGGACCTTCATCGGCATCGAGCCCAGGGCCCCAGGCGAGTCGCGACACATCACCCGCGCGGCCGCCCCCCTCACCTCATGCATCTAGCGGGGCTAGGGTTCATCATCAGGTTGTTGTCCTCGAGGGGTCGGGTGCACCACCCGCCACTGGAACGCGATGGCGCATCGGATGGTGGCGGCAGCTGCTGGCTCCTCAGCGTTGGCGGGTTGCGTGCAGGGGGTGCGAGTTCGCCTCTTGGTGGATACGGGGGCGTCTGCCACCATTATTTCAGAGGCCATTTTCAAGCTCCTACCCCGCAGCGTCGGTCCGTTAGGGCCGGTTCGTGGGGCTTGTGTCGCCGCGAACGGCAGCAGTTTGGGCATATTGGGCCAAGTTATAGCGTCGGTTCGGGTGGACGAGATTGAGTTGGCCGGGCCTATTTTGGTCTCCAAGACCTTGGCAGTTCCATGCCTCTTGGGGACCGACTTTTTGTCTAGAATGCCCATTCGAATTCTCGTTGACCAGTGCTGTGTGGAATTGCCGTCAGGGAGGCGGCTGCAATTCCTACAATCGCCTACCGTCCTGTCTCCCTTGGTTGCCAGTGCGCGGCCTTGAATAGGGCGGCGGTGACCGTGCCGCCGGCATCACAAATCTTGCTACCCCTTAGGTTGCGCAGACCGCTCGAAGGGGGCTCCACGGAGACAGGTATCCTCCTGTCCCCGTCGAGTTACTTTTCAAGGACGATGGGATTGGTGGGTGCCTTGACGGCCGTGTCGGGGGGCCAGGACCTTTTTTCTACAGGTCCTCAATTCGGGGCCCACGCCGATCGTAATCCCGGCCGGTGCCGTCCTGGCGCACGCGACCCCGGCTCCCCCACCCGAGAGCGCTGCCCCGGATGGAGGAGTCGTGGCGGGCGTGATGCGTGCGGGGGACTCCGACGCATCGTGGTTCGCCACATTGTGCAACAAGAATGCCTCGTTGTCCACCGGGGAGCGTCAGCAACTCCGCGAACTCATCGAGAGGTTCACCGATGTGTTTAGCCAAAGTAAGTTTGATCTGGGTCGCACTACTCTTTTGGAACACCACATAGATACGGGCGACTCAGCCCCTATTCGGCTTAATTCCCACCGCTTTAGCCCTGCGGAAAAGGAGCATGTCCGCTCGGCTGTCGACGAAATGTTGGCGGCGGACATCGTCTCCCCTTCCACTAGCCCTTGGGGTGCCCCATTGTGCTAGTCAAGAAACGGACGGGAGTCTCCGGTTCTGCGTTGATTTCCGTAAATTGAACAAGATCTCGGTGGCTGACGCATATCCATTGCCTCGCATGGATGATTCCCTGGACGCCCTCTCGGGCGCGCGGTTCTTTTCGACTCTAGATTTGCTCTCCAGCTTCTGGCAATTGCCGCTGGACGA